CATTTCTGCTTCACATGGTATAAATTAGACTCCCTCAGGCATTGCAGTAAGATAACAGTTGATGATCTTAACTGCTTTTCTAGTGATTGGTTGACTATTTGCAGGAGCAAGGGAGGTAACTGGATCATCATCCTGCAGGCTACTGTAGGCTTATTTCCAAGGTGTGGTGGAAGGCTTCCAACTTCCATAAAAAAGGGTACACCCCAATGGCCAAGTACTTTTCAACTTTCTGCCAGCGTCCTGTTTGCTCATGGTCCATTGTAAATTCCATGGCACCAAAAACAGGATGCAGAAATAGAATCCATCTCTTCAAGGAGGAACTGCAAAGTTACATTGCATACTGAGACATGCATTCAAGAATGTGAAGAATCTGAACCATTTTTGTAATTTATCAAGTTGTAGTTTTTCCTCCCTTTCAGTCCCTTATGTGGGGATTTATGTTCAGAATCTAGTTGTGGGTTATGTCTACCTTGTATTGCTGAAGTTAAAGATTTTTGGATGCTATATGATAGAATTTTTCGGCGCAGAAGTAAACCATCTGATAGGCTTTTGGCGTGGCTGAAAAGATAGGAAGTAAGAAATTAAAATGGACCTTTATTTTAAGAACCTGGAGAGAGACTCCTGACCCTCCGGGATCTGGCATTCTCTCTGCCAGTGTGTGGTGTGGGGGCATACATGTAGCTTAGGTTTGGGGTGGTGCCTAAGGGGCATTAGTGATGCAAAGGTAGCCCATTGGTATTCATTTTGCACCACAGGTGAATTCCTAGGGGCGGGGAAGATAAGAGCCCCTTGTTTCCGCCTCCAAGGCTTTACTGGCTACAGTGTCTGGGGCAAAAACCTTTCACTATACAATTCTGTTGATTCATTTAAACATTCTTGTGAAATAATGCAAGTTGCACAATAGGAATATTATTCATTCCTGAAATAAGTGACACAATCAATTTGAAATCCATTTGGATCATATTTGGAAGCTCATATATGACTCTAAAGCACAAAACAAGATTTTGTTTTTAAGTCTGGCCATTAGTAAGTGGAAAGAAATGATGTCTGAGCTGAGCCAAGACCTAAAGCATGTGGAAGATCTAGTTAGGCAGAAAAAATACTTTGCACAGTGAAAATATGAGAAAAGACTAATTCTGTAAATCCATTTTTGTGTCACATGAGAATCTTGAAAAATGCTTATTACACTGTATGGTTTCCTTATCTATTCTGTTACCTACCATTGGATTTTAAGCTTTTTTTTTTGGTAGTGGTGGTAGTGGTACTGGGAGTTGAACCTAGGGCCTTTGCACTGAGCTACATCCTCAGCCCTTTTTATCATTTTTTATTTAGAGACAAGGCCTCTCTAAGTTGATAAGTTTCCAAGGCTGGGCTGGAACTTTCCATCCTCCTGTCTCAACCTCCCACAGTGCTAGGATTAAAAGTGTACATCACCATGCCCAGGAACACTTAAGATTAAAATGACAGAATCCATCAAGTTTATCCTTATATGTTTGTGCAATGAGCCAGTGAGTGACCTAGTGAAGGAGTGAATGTAAAACTGACTAACTAAATAATTTTTAAAAACAGTGAATTAAGCAGGGATGAGACTCAAGTAGAGAATAGCATGAGAATGGAGATGAAAATCAAGGTCAAAGCTATAGAGACAGAGGAAGGAGCAGAAGGAAAAACAATGCAAGACCAGGTCAAAAGGCAGGAAAAAGGGATGGAAAGCTTGTCTGCTTAGCAGCTGCATCGGAGGAAGTTAGCACTTCTTTTAAAATACTAATTAATGCTTTGGGCTCACACATTGGTTCTTTTTGTATTATTAAACTCCTTGCTTTTTATTTTCAAGATTCAAAATCTATTTTTGAAGGTTGTTTTCCTAGAGAATTCCAAAGGTCTTATATAGGCGTAAAATATTGGTTTAGATGTTAGTACTTTCTTTTGGATTATTAGAGATATCTAATTTGGATACCTCTTACCAAATTCTTACCAAAAATCCTGTGGGTTTCAAAATCTGTCAAACTGTTAGTCTTTCTCCTTTAAAGAGGAAAACTGCCTTGGTTGATGGGCACTTGGGTTGTTTTGAAGATATAGCTGTTAATAACTGTGCTGCTGTAAACATGGGTATGCATATATCACTGTGATATGATGTTTTTAATTCTGGAAATAGCTGAGTCAAATGGGACTTCTAGATCTAGTTTTTTAAAGAATCTCTACACTGATTTCCATAGTAGTTGTACTAGTCTACTACACTGCCACCAACAGTGGAGAAGGGTTCCTTTATCCCTGCAGCCGCTCCGGCATTTGTTATTGGTCAGTTTCTTGATGGTAACCATTCTTTCTGGAATGAGAGGGAATCCAACATTGTTTTAATTTGCATCTCTCGAGTGACCAATGATGTTGAACATTTTTTCATATATTTATTTGCCATTTGTATTTCTCCCTCTGAGAAGTGTATATTCATCTTAGGTGCACATTTTTGGATTTGAGTTTTTTAATTTAAGGGGTCTGATTTTTGTCAGTTCCCTTCATGTTCTAAATAGTAGTACTTAGCCATAAAGAAGGATAAACTTGAGACATTTCTAGGTAAATGGAGGCATCTTGAGACCATATTATTAAGTGAAATAAGTCAGAGATACACATAAATGTTGCATTGTCTTCCAGGTGTGAGAACTTGAAAGAGTAAATAAGGGCTAAAATATACAACAGATATTGTGAAATTAGAAAAAATTAGTCAAAAGGAAGAGGAGCTAGCGATGGGGGAAGGGAAAAGAAAAAAGAAAGGATAAAATGGGAACAATATTTTGTAAATCAAGAGGGGAAGAAGGGTTGAAGGAAGGGGAGAAGATTGGGGAAAAAAAGAGCAATCAAAATATATCAGGTACAGATTTCCTATGATGAATATAATCATTGTGTTTTCCTAAATTGTACTGACAAACAATATAGAAAAAAAGATGAAAACCTGTTTCGAAAAAAGCTTGTAACTGGGAATTATTTTTATTATTCTGAACCATGTGATTTGATTTTATTAAAACCAATTTGGGTTTTTATAAGTTCTGATAGGGATGAATGATTTAGGAAATCAAAATTTTTCCTCAGCCTCAACTCTGGTACAAGGGTAGCTATTATGCTCAGGACTTTAGCAGGGGCTGTCAAAGTATTTGACACTCACTAGAAAGAAGTAATAGGACAAGATACCAGATGTGATTAAAATGCATGATGAATGTTTAAATTTTAAAAATTATTATAGTAAAAGACACACTGCCATTAATCTCTCCCAAAATACTCCTCTTTCTTCACACATACTTATTTGATCTTTCCTACCACTTTCTGAGACACTTCTGGAAGTCCTTTTTCATGAGTATTTTTATGAAGTGTGATTTTGAAAAATATAATAAATGCTGTTGTCAAGTGCCATCCAATAGAAAGACAGGCTTGTAAAAAACATAGTGATGCACCTTCATCTACCAGATCTGGCACCATGTGATTTCTAGTTCTTCCCTAGTCAAAATGATCATAGAAAGTAAAAATTTTGAATCAATTCAGAACATTGAGGCTGCCATGATGAAGGAACTAAAAACGAGAAACAGGACCAACTTCCAAATGTGCCTTAGAAAGTGGCAAGGAGGATGGGAGAAGTTATTAAAAATAAATGAGAATATTTTGATGGGAATTAATGTAAATGTCTTTTACTATAACAAAAATTTTTTTAAATTCTTTCACCATATTTTTGATGATGTCTCATACTTCTGATCAAATTTCTTAAAAATTTGGTTAAAGGCATTAGAATAACTTAGAACAGTTGTTATAAATGCATCTTCCAAACTTCTACTAGTCTTAGGATCTGAAGCCTTCAAAATGATTTCTGTAGCCAGAAAAGAAACAGGCTCATGGCTTAAACTTTAATGCATCAGCTTTGTCTTTAGATTATGCTGGGCATGTTTTTGGACTATTCTTATTACTTTTTTATTTTTAAATTATATGTGACAATTTATAATTGAATATATTAATGAGGTGATGTTATTAATTATATGCATACAACGTAGAAAATTACATCAAGGTAATTAACATAAGCATCATCTCAAATAGTTATCATTTTATTGAGGTAAGAACATTTGAAATTATATAGGCTCAGCAACTTTGAAATATAAATTATAATATTAATTATTTTGCTGTGCAATTGATCTTTTAAAAATATATTCCTCGTGAGACTTTTTACCCTTTGACCACCCTCTGTAACCACCATTCTCTGATTATTTCATATTCCACATATAAATGTGAATATATTGTGTTTGTCTTTCAGTGCCTATTTTATTCAACATAATTCCTCAGTTCTGTTTATATCATCAGAACTTTTTAATGCTCTATAGTATCTCTTGTGTTTATGTGCCACATTTTATTTATCTGTTCATCTGTTGGCAGCCAATAAGGTTGATTCCATAACTTGACTGTTATGAATAAAGAGGTAATGAATATGTTAGTACAGACACCATTTTTGCATAATGATTTCAAATCTTTTGGGGTCCTGGGATTACAGGATCATATGCTAATTCTATCTTCTATTTTTTGAGGAACCTTCATACAGTTTTCCATAATCACTGTACTAATTTACATTCTTTTTTTACTCTTTTTTTTTTTTTTTTTTGTCTTTTTCGTTTTTGTCGGTACCAGGGATTGAACTCACGACTGCCTGCTTACAAGACAGGCGCTTATGCCACTGAGCTAAATCCCCAGCCCACTAATTTACATTCTTACCAATACTTAAGCACAGTATTTAGTTGGGTAAAATATGTCCCACTTCTATAAAAAGTCAGCAATGTAGAAAGCATAAGATATATGCCAAATTCAGTAGGTTCTAGAGAGAAAGAGGGCTCCCTGCAGGCTTACATCAGGAAAGATTTCATGGAAAAGATAGGTATAAATTTTAAATAAGAGCTCTTGTAGTCTGCCATTCTAACAATATAAATCAAATCCAAGAACTTAATTTAGACTGTTTTCTATCTTTATGCTTTTAGAGCTTCCAAATTGAAGGAGCATATTAAACAGAAAAGACAACAAAGGAAGTACCTGCACACAGTCAAAGCCAAGGTGGCTGACATGCGGAAACAGGCTTTGCAGGAACAGTTTGATGAGTGGATTCTAGACCCCAAAGGACTGATTCCTACAGCAGTGGTAAGAAACGGGTATATATGGAGGATAGCAAAATGGGTAATAAGAGGGCAAGTGCTAGAATACTGAGTGGAATACTAGAATCCTCCCTTGAAATTTTCAGTACTAAATTAAATTAGGTCAATTCTTGACCTGTCTGGTTCATGAGCATTAATTCCTTCAGTTTATACACACATGTACCCACACACACACACACACATACACGCACACACACACACACACACACACACACACACACTTCTAGCTAGATTGCTGAAACCCTTGATTTTGGCAAAGATTTCCAAATTAATTCCGGAGACACATTTTATTTGTTTGTTTATTGTATATTTGTGCTATCACTTCTGTGAAACTTATGGAGCCTATATCTTAGCTCCAGGGAAAAGTGTAGTCTAAGAATTAAATGTTTTCTCTTAGTGTTTATAGATTTGAAAATATTTAATTGTTGGATATGGTGCCAAGCATATTTTAGTTTAGTGTGAATGATTAAAACTAGACCAGGAAGATTAGCCACAAACCAGAAGAAAAACATTAGCAAAAAGATACAACTGATTAAGAACTGTTATCCACAAAGGCAAGGCAGGAGGCATCACAATCCCTAATTTGAAATTATATTACAAAGCTACTGTGATAAAACCAGCATAGTACTGGCAAAAACAAAAAACCATACCAGAGAGTCAGTGGAATAGATTAGAAGATGCACACAACTATAAACACACTCAGCCACCTTATCTTTGACAAAAGGACCGAACATGTTCCCTGGAAGAAAGATAGCTTCTTTAATAAATGGTGCTGGAAAAACTGGCTTTCTACACACTGAAGACTAAAACTAGACCCATGTCTATCACTATGTACCAAACTAAAGTCAAAAGGGATCAAAGATCTAAATACCAAAACAGAAATACTAAATGTACTGGAAGATAAATAAAAATCAACATGCATGTTAAACAAAAGCTGGTTATACAAATAATAATGAGATCTAAAACTTCTGAATTATTTCTTTTGGGTTAGGCACTGTCTTAAACTATCTGTATGCAATCATTGTGTCTTCCTAAATTGCACTATGGCATATTGTTTGATTCCAACTATAGTACATGTCATTCTGAAACAAGAAAAGTATAGAGCACTAGAGATGAAAATACGACATGTGTGCCATAGCAAGCTGTTTGTATCTTCGAAAGCTCTGTAAGGATTGCCATATAAAGACGGTAAAAGGATCAGTAGTTACCACACATGAGGAAGGATAGAAGAAATGAATAGGGGAGCATAGAGAAATTTTAGGGTGATGAGACAATTCTGGATGACAATGTAATTGTGGGTATCTGCCATTATACATATGTCAAGCATATGGCTTACAGTAACCAACAGTAACCCTTACCATAACTATGGACTTCGGGTAATGATGTGTCAGTGTAAGTTTGATTATAACAAATGTACAATTCTAGTGCAAGATGCTGATGATGGGGGAAGGCTGTGTGTATGTGTGTGTGTGTGCTGGCCAGGATTATATGAGAACACTATACAATCTGCTCAATTTTTCCATGAATCTAAAACTTCTCTTAAAAAATTAAATCTGCTTTTAAAAATGGACCAAGTTTCTGAAGTTTCAGGAGGTTTTTTTGTTTGTTTGTTTGTTTGTTTTTGTCAAAAAAGTGAAGTATAGAGGATTCTCAGAATTTCCTGTTTGCTAAATGTCCTTCAGCTCTATCATGCCCATTGTCGGAGGGTGACTAAAACTGTCCCCTAGATTGTGCAAAACAGGATCATTCTTGGATCCAAGTCATTCTTACCCAAAACCTTTTGTTCACACTTCATGAAGACACTCATAAAAGTACTTCTAGAAGTACTTCATAACATAGCAGGGATAAGGTATAAATGTGTTTGAAGCGAGGATGGGTATTTTGAGGGGGATTAATGGCAGTGTATCTTTTATTGTTATAAATTTTTTAAAAATTTAAACATACCATATAGGTGTATCATACCTTGTATCCCTTGACATTTTCTATAAAGCAAAAGTAAGTTATAACTTTTTCTGTTCTTTGGTAAGAAAGATCACCAATACTTAAATAGAAACCTATAGGTAGCTTTTAGTCTAAAATACTAAGTATAGGATAGTTGAAGAATTTATTTTTTTCTTTTTTCTTTCTTTCCTTAAATTTGTAGATTCAAAACGTTCTTCATGAATTTTTTAAAAGACCAGATTTTGAGCTTGGTAAGTATACCTACTGGTGATTTTTTTATTTGTTTATTTGTTTTCTTTCTTTTGGGGGGGATGGTAGGATAGTGGAGGCACTGAATTCAGGGTGAAAACTCAATATTGAAAAATGTTATTTAAAGTACCTATAGATGAAAGTAGTCTCTTTTTCTCTTTCCAGAAAAACAACATAGAAAAACTGGGAAGATTCATTCTCATTCTCTTTTAGGCCAGGGCTCTATTTTATTATAAATATTCTTTAATACTCTCTTATTATCTTATTAATCTCTTATTAATAATACTTATCTCTTATTAATAATACTCTCTTATGACAGTGAAAAAAAGCAAAATTTACTCTATTTAGAACATAGAATAGAGTTCATTTCCAAATTCAAAATTATTACAAGTAGATTTTTCAGCTACTTGAATGTCTGACAGAAAGATAAAACCTTGATTGTACAAAAATTGCACTGGAATAAAATTCTTCCACATATTTCCACAATGCACACCAGGGGCAGAGGTTATCAGTACCACCCCATGGAGAACCATAGATTTTGGTGCATTTATTTTCAGAAAGCGATTAAGCAGGGGTAGGCATATAACTCAGTAGCATAGCGCTTGCCTGGTAAGCATGCAATCATACATTCAAATCCCAGTACAAAAAAAAAAATAAATAAATAAAACAGAGTGTAAGCAAACAAACAAAAAACAAAAAACGGATTTGTCACATAAAGAGTGTGAATTAAGGTCAAGATATTTATAGAATTTATGTTCAGCTGATTTTTTTAGTTAATTTTTCAGTCACTTGTAGTATAGTGGTTAACAACAGATGGTGAGAATGTTTGAAGTGTGTTCCTCCCGCCCTGATATATTTGTACTGATGATGGAACCCAGGACCTTATATAAGCTGGGCAAGCACTCTGTCATGGAGCTTTATTCCCAGGCCTGTTCTCACTTTTTAAAATAAAATATACATCTCATCTTCTTGGTCACTGGTCCCCAAATAAGATTTGGGGCTTGTGACAATCTTTTCTCCTTTTCCCTGTTCTCAGTTTATCCTCAAACTGTAGTTCTCTAGTCAGCTCAACCTCTGCTCCTGTTTCAGAATTCTTTAAAATGACTTCACTTATTCATTTATTTTGGATGAGGGTACAGAAGTGAGTTACGATAACTCCCTGCAGGAGACCGTAATGAAAAAATTAGAGAAAAGTGGGATAGTAAAAAATAAAGACAAGTTGCACATCAAAGTTTTATATGTTCGTAGAGAAAAACAAAAGATGTATGTACATAGAAACATCTGGAAATGCATACAAAGATTGCCAGAGAGTAATAAACTGTTGACAGTGGTTACTTTTGGGGCGTAAAGGAATGAAGGATTCAGTTAGGAGAGTAGAGAAAAAGAAGGATATTCATGTTTTTCTGCTGATACTTTTGTGTTACTTGAATCTCTTGTAAGAGAATGTAGTCACATATTGTTAGTTAATTTAAGAAACATTAAAGATCAAAAATATATATTGGTTTGGGCTCGACTAGCATAAAACAACACAGATGTTTTTGTAGTTTTTATACTATTGTGCATATTTGTTTTTGCTTTATCCCAACCTACTTATTAAAAATTATAGCTGGGGATGCATCTTAGTGCTGGAATACTCATCTAGCAAGTATAAGATGCTGAGGTCTATCCCCAGAACTGAATAATTTAAAATTTAAATAAAAAATTTAGGTTCATATTTTTAGCATTTAAATTACTTCATTAAATAAAAGCCAGAGAAAATAGTAATTTTGTAGTAGTTGGGATGTTAACCACGTATATATAAACTTTATTGTAACTATAGATAAACATTAGTTAAAAATAATTGCATGTTTTTCTTTTGAGTACTAAAAGGTAAATATAAAATATGAATGTATTAAGCCAAACTAACTAGCAAATAATTTGTATTCCAAAATTAGAATTATATTGCAAGCAATTGGATATTACTGACTCAATGGAACCAAGATTGAGCAAAGCAGAATTCACAGAAGTAAGAAATTAATCTAATATTTGAATTAAATTATTTCTCCTGTTTCGACCCGTCTTTTGGTGGATGTTACACATTAACTTATACTGAAATGAAAGCATAAAAATTTATTTTATCACACTTCCAGTTTTTTAATCCCTCTGAATTTTGGCTTCATCTAACAATCAAAGGCATCTTAAAATTTCTTTCAATCAGTGACACTGATGATATGAAGTTGGAAATTGTCAAATCAAAGACTTAAAAAAGGGACTATGAAATTCAATCTAAGAGCTGTTGAATGATGCAAAGAAGAAAAATATAATTTGATTGGAATCAATGAAAAAGTAGAAAGTAGCACAAAAAACATAAAAAACCTGTTCACAGAAGTAATGGTAGCATAGAAAAAAGAATTTGAATTGCAGATAAGTGAGTCACATAGAACTCTAGTTAGCCATGATCTGAAAAAACACTAAGGAATATAACACACAAGAGTCCAGAAATTCAACACAGCTGTAAAATTCCTCAGTTCACAACAGACTTCTTAACAGAAACCCCTAAGTCAAAGAGAGCTTAGAGTGAAGTATTTCAAGCTCTAAAATAAAACAACCTCCACCCCAGATTGATATATCCTGAAAAGTTATCTTTCAAAATTGATAGAGAAATAAGGTACTTCCATGATTAAGAAAACTTGAAGAAATTCATGACCACTAAACCAGCACTCCAAAATTTTCTGAAAGGTATCCTAGAACGAGACAACAAAGACAAGGATTCCGTGAATCCCAATAGAATGAATATACCAAGTAAGGGAAGCACTTAATCTCCCTCCAGTGATAAGATGGTTTGTAGCTAGTATAAGTCCTTTTATATATTTGAAGAGTACTAGAAAAATTGAACCCTAGCACACTGTTTATGGATAAGGTTCTCTCCAATGTGTACTTGAAGGGAACTGGAACATATGAATAGTTTTCCTACATTGCTTGGCTTTACATGGCTCCTCTCCAATGTGATGTTCTCATGTATTGGAAGGGTATCAGAATGATGGAAGGCTTTGTTTCTTTGATTATAATCATGGGGTTTCTCTACAGCAAGCCATTTCATGTGTGTGAAGATGAATGGAACATCTGAGGCTTTATCACATGCTTGCATTTATAAGAATTGTCTCTAGTGTGAACTTGTTTGAGTAATATAAAGGAACTGTAATAAATAAACATTTCCCCACAGTTGTGACATGCATAAGGCTTCTCTCCAGTATCAGTTCTTCCATGTACATGGGACATCTAAAGGCTTTCCCACATTTTTACACGAATAAGGTTTCTCACTGTTATGAATCCTTTCATGTTTTTGAAAAGCTAACTGAGGTTCTGAAGGTTTTTTTTTTTCATTCCTGACATTCATAAGGTTTCTCTGCAGTATGAATTCTTCTGTACAGTTTAAGGGAAGTACAACTTGTGAATGTTTTCTCACATTCTGTGCACACATTGGGTTCCTCAGTATGTGAAGAGCACTTGAGGTCCTGAAGGCCTTCTCACATTCTTTACATACATAAGGTTTCTCGCCAGTGTGAATTCTGTTGTGCAGTTGATGGAAAGTACAACATGCAAATTTTTCCACATTCCTTGTACACATAAGCCTTCCCTCCAGTATGAGTTCTTTCATGTATATGAAGACCACTGGAGACCTCATAGCTTTCCCACATTCTTTACATTTATAAGGTTTCTCTCCAGTGTGAACTTTTCTGTGCAACTGAAGTACAATGTGAAAACGTTTTCCCACATTTCTTGCACACAAAGGGTTTCCCACTAGTTTGTGTCCTTTCTTGTACATGAAGAGCATTGGCGTGAATGAAGGCCTTACCATACTCCTTATACACACAGGGTTTCTCTCCAGTATAAAATTTTTCATGTTCTTTTAGACAACTGGGTAGCCTGAAGGCTTTCCCACCTTGCTTACATTCATGTGGTTTCTGTCCTTTCAAGCTGGCAAAGGGTAAAGTGTTTTTAATCTTGCCTGTATTTTCATGGCTTCTCTAAATATTCTTGACTCTGATACGGTTTATCTCCTCTCCACTGTGAGGTCTGAGGGCACATTTTACAATGAATGGCCAATGAAGACTTTCTTATGCACATGGCTTCCTCATGGATATAGTCCAGATTTTTAGCTTAACTTTGATCAGGAGGCTGAGGCAGGAGGATCACCATGAGTTTTTGTATATTTGGTACTAGCATCCTGTGCAAAACATCCCAGAATTGTGGGTGATCCCATGACAGTGCTAAAGGATTTCAAAGGCTTGAACTTTTTGCGGCTTCTGCCATGCTGAAAACGAAGCCTTGTGGGCATTTGAGCCCCATTATTCCATGGCAAGAATCATCTTCCATTGGATTCAACAGTTACTTGGCTTGTGTCACCTGTTAGATGTCACCTGCATGCCAATGACCTTCCTTTGAACAGAAGGCACACTGATTCGGCACTTTAGGAGCTGTCTCCATCAAGTCCTACATTTCTGGGAGGGTTTTCTCCTAGGTTCACCTCAGTGGGGCTGAACCAATTAATAAAGGATTATAAAGGTTAAGAAATAACATTTTTTATGTCTCTCACAATAGAGATCTAATTGTAAAATGGTGTTGAAATTAAGGGAGCCATTGAGAGTCCATTTTTCTTAGCTGTCAACCACATACTGAAGCCAAGCAGAATTGTAAAAGAAGATAAATTCCTTTTACTTTTGGTTGTTTAAATTGCATTTTCTCCAAGTAGATAGCAAACACACTAGAAGGCAATCTTCTAGAATGCTGTTGATATTTCTCATATATGACCCCTGTAAATTTGGCATACGATCATTTGTCATGGGGAAAGGTGTAAAGCCCAAGATCAAGTGCCTAGATGAATATTATGATACTCCACTCCTTGCCCCTTGCACTTTAGGTGTGAATTTTTTTGCAACAGGGGAACGTAAGACCTCTACACTAGGAGCTGGTGTAGCAAGAAGAAAGTAGTCAAGGCATACATATTAACAATCTACATAAATCAAAACACAGTGTGGGGCAGGATGTTCAGGAAATCTAGAGAATTTAAACCTTCGCTACAGTCAATTAAGGACTCAAATACTTTCTACCTAAAGACAGTTATGGGACCTGAAACCCCTTTTTATATGACAGGAGATTTAAACCCTTTCTACAGGGACCACCAATTAGGGTACTCAAGTCTCCATTGGCAAACTCCAAACCAGGTGATCAAGTCTTGATGAGGACGTCGTGCACTCTGATTCAAATACATGTGACATGAAGGGAGGAGAGAGAGAGAGAGAGAGAGAGAGAGAGAGAGAGAGAGAATGTAAACAAAGCTTTTGTAAATAAGGAAGGAAGAGGAGATGAAGGGAAGGGAATTTGGGGAAAAAAGAATCAAGATACATTATGTACAGGTACAAATTTTTAATGATGAATGTGATCATTTTGTGTATCTAAAAAGTGCTGTGACCCATGTGGCTCTTGAGGTTTTTGGGGTGAAGGATCGCGAGAGGATGAGAAAATAAAGAAGAGACAAATCTGGGGTCAGGTGGAGCCCTTACTCTTCTGATGGGAAAGAAGGAACTGGCCTCTCTGGCCTCTCACTGCAGGGGCATTTTATTTATACCTTTTAGCAACTTAATGTCACATGACACCCTGTTGTCCTAGCAAGAAACTGTTCAGATTGTTTTGGGGCTAAATGTTCTCTAGACTGAAGCAACTTCTTCACATAGTTTGCCCTAGGCACTCTTTATTTTTGGGATGGTCATGCTCCAGCCTTTCATGTGTCGTCAATTTTCAGCTTCAGTGGCTCCCAACAAAACTGTACCAACAAAATTAATTTTAAAAACTAAATGTGAAAAAAAAATAGGTGTAACTGTGGAGGCTTCATTCCACAAAGGACATCTAGACACCCGACTTGAATCGTAGCTAAAAGATAATAAGAAAAGAAAAAAGAGGAAAAAGAAAGAATTTCAAGAGAAAGAGACTAGTAGGCACCTGCATGGTTGGGCTCTGAGAACTCTTACCAGATTGCAAGGCAGTATCAGCCCTCTCTTAAGTGTCACTTGAATCTGCACAGCTTAGGGAGTTCCCCAGTCATACTAAAAAGAGTTATAGTACTTTGGGCAGATCCATTTTGTGCCCTTTTGGTCATTGAAAATTAAAAAAGGTAAAAGAAGGTAAGAGAAAGAAAGAGAAGAGAAGAGAGGAGAAGGAGTGGGAAAGGGAGTCGAGGCAGGGCACGGTGGGGCAAGGCAAGAAAAGAAGTAAAAACAAGAGTAGGGCAGAGAGGAAAATCAAACAGACCAAAGAAAATTGAAGACTTACATGCCACTCCAATTCCAGAAAAAAGAAAATCCAGCTGGCCACACAGTCACTCATGTTGGGTTAGCATCATGAGTCCAGCAGGTCCCGTCTTGTGCTTGCACAGTATCCTGGTGGATCGGCCAAAGATATGATACTGGATCATGAGAACCTTTAGAGACCAGGCAAAATGTTGTTTGTTTGTTTGTTTGTTGAGACAGGATCTTACTAAGTAGTCCATACTGGATTTGAACCCACTGAGTATCCAAGTTGACCTTGAACTCACCATCCTCCTCCCTCAACTTCCTGAGTGCTGAAATTATTGGCATTTGCCACCACATCCAGCTTGAAACTGGGCCAAATATTACAAGCAGACACACTCCTAAGAAAGTGAAAAACTGTACAAGAGAAATTTTTTTAAAGTTGCTCTTTTGAAACTACCTAGCTCTGGTACTGCTCCAAGGCTTTGTAATTACATTCTTGACTCCTGCAACCACAAGAGTGTAACCCAACATGCAAGATGCCTGATTGTACCACTGTACCAAGCTTCAAGAAATGGTGATCATTAATCTACCCTTGTAACCGATGATCTCACCCTACTGGCTAATCAGAAGAACTGCCAGGCTATTCTGAGTTGCTTTTGTACCTCTTGCTTGTGCATCATATATAAGCCCTGGACCACTAGAGATTAGAGATATTCTGGGAATGATCCTGATCGGTGTCCATCAATGTAAATAGATCTGCCTCTAAATCCTGGGTGTCGTTTCACTGTTTCTGACTGCTGTTGCACTACAAAGGCAAGCTTTCTAGGGGGAAAAGAGGGCTAAGCTGAATTAGTGATTCAGCTGAAGGAATTAAGCAGTTGGCTGAGAGAGCAATCAAACTCCGTTTCTAGAATAAAAAAGCAGCAAGGTTTTATTGATTTGTTTGGGTAGGCTGAGGTCCAGCAGTGAGTGCTCAATGGCTTGGAGCATAGTTAAAAAGAATCTTTCTCCTTGTGATGAACTTAGACCACCATGTGATCACAGTCAACTTATCCCAGGGTCTGTTGAATGTTTGTATATCTGACACCTTCATCCTGCATGAAACATTCTGGCCTTGTGGGTCTGGTTCCTACAATAGCAGCCAAATGACTTTCGGTTCTTGGATTTTAATGGTAAGAAGCACAAGCATGGAGACAGAGAAGAGAGAATAGAGAAAGAAAAAGAAGACAACTCCAATAGGCAATAGGCCAAGTTAACTCTGCATTATAGTCTTAGCCTGAACGTTTTTAAACGATCAGAATGTCTGTGTGCAGCAGAGTAGAATCTGACCCAAGGAGATAGTATGAAGACTGAGTTGCCTTTTATCTCCCTTTAGTCCCCCATCAGACATCTGCAGGCTCAAATGAAGTCAGTGTTTCCGGCAAATGTGGACTTTAAATCCCTAGGAAGTAATCTAGGCATATTATCATCACACATCAGAGGCTTAGCTATAGCAAAGCTAGTGGGAAACTAATAATGTACTGCCTGGCTATGTGACCTCCAAAATGAGGGATTCAAGTGAAGTGAGAGGGTTTAGGTTTTCTTTCCATGGTAACAATTTCTCACTTCATGCAAACATTCTCTTTTTATGGTTTTATGAGGGTCTCATTATCTGTTAAAAAGAGCACAAAGGTAGGGAAATAACATGCCACGCTACAAAGCGTAATATTTTATTACACCTGCGAGTTTATTTTGTTGTCCCAGTCTTTGGTCCCATGATGGTCACACCACAATAGTCACCTGTACTTAAAAAAAAATAGAAATACCTTATTACAGTATCAGAAATCATAAAACTACTGAGAAACCCCATCTTTTGCATTCCAATAACTAAATGTAGTCACTCTTGGAATACACATCTGATTATATGCCATGAATCAATAAAACAGCTTCATTTATTTTTATTAGAACTTTTAATTTACAGTCAACATTTTAGGACAGCTGCTATTTCATACTGTGAGAAAAATCAGCCCTATAAAATTCTAATATAACCCATAGGGAAAATTGCTCAAAAATATCTCCTCTCCCTGGTGTATGCTGTTGGGGGTGCACTGGTCACCTTTGTCTACTGCATAGTCTCTGGAATGACATTCACATGAAAATTCTTTAAGTGATTATCAAATAATATGGAAACATTTTTCAATCAAATTAGTTCAGGCCTGACGTGGTGGTGCATGCCTGTAATCCCAGCACTTGGGAGGCTGAGGCAGGAGGAATTTCTGGGAGTTCAAGGCCAGCTTGAACTGCTAGTGAAACCCTTTCTCAACAACAAAAAAAAAAGACAAAATATTTCATGTGCATTGACTAAATCCTTGGGAAAACACAAATAAAGAGATGGTTTTAGACCAAGCATGGTGTTGATGCATGAAACTCTAGTTACTCAGGAGGCTGAACCAGGATTGAAAGTCTGAGATCTGCATGGGCAACTTAAAGAGAACCTGGAGAGAGACAGACAGACAGAGAGAGAGTGAGAGAGAGAGAGAGAGAGAGAGAGAGAGAGAGAGAGAGAGAGAGGCGGGGGGCAGAGGAGGTGTAACTGGGCTTGTAGCTCAGTGGTAGAGCACCTCTGGGTTTAAACCCCCAGTACTGAGGGGAAAAAGCATGGTTTTAAGTCATTATCCTTTTTCCCCTTGCAGTACATCTCTTTATGGGCTGCAGATCTTAAAAGTGAAATTTTTGAGGAACTCCTTCAGCACCTTTGCCACTCTGCAGATGAATTCCGGGAGATCATAAAAACTGACATGCAGAGACAGATGTTTGTAGAACTTTTCCTGTATTGTGACCATGGGAAGGTAAGACTCTTACGAAATTGCTTTGCTTGCACTATTTTTAATGAAAGACCAGTTTTTAGGTTATTGCTGATGACGATGTTTTAAATTTCTAATACATTAGGAATGGATAAGCAGTGAAAATGGATTGGGGAGGCATACAAAATATAACCCATATTTTAAATTATTAGATTCAAGTCTGATTTAATATTAGGTAGTTTCTCAGATTCCTATAAACATTTCTATGTGTTATTCTCAGTTTTTAGATCTCTCTTATTACAGGCTGGCACCATCTATAAACCATAACTTCCCACTACTAAGACAGTGGGAACTTAAAATTGTCTTTGTTTTCTCTCTTTGTTGGTAGTTTCCTATGTAAAAGAGTTGTTAAGAATAGAAAGCCTATTAATTTTATTATTCTGGTTCTTAAAAACAAAAATAGTTCAGGCTGGACATGGTAGCACATGCCTGTAGTCCCAGCACTTGGGAGGCTGAGGCAGGACGATTACTACGAGTTCAAGGGCAGACTAGGCTATATAGTGAGTTCAAGACCAGCCTGAACTACATAGCAAGATCTTGTTTCAAAAAAACTAAAAATTTAAATTGAAAATATAAAAAGAGTACATCAAAAAGTATTTCAAAGGATGAGGTTTAGGGAAACACTTGTGTGTCAGGATACAAAATGGATTTGAAAATAGATACAAATTATACTAAAGTATTTGTTTATGAGTATTTATTTATTTATAACTCTATGTTCCAGAAAGGATGCAAGAAATATCACAAGAATAGAAAAAATGCAGGGACAAAAAGGGAGAATACCAAATGCAATTATAATCTAACCATAATGATCTAAATACTTGTTTTAGGATATATACAGGTTTGAATCTAAGCTTCCTGGCAATGAATGTGAAAAAAAAATGACCAAACTATTGACAGGATTTTCCTAGTACTATGAAAAAATACATCAATTTGAGATTCAAAGAACAAGCCATCGATAGATAGTCACTAAAGGGATCCTGTGTGATAACTGAATGTCTTTTATGATGGACTTGCAAAAAATGAATCAGTGACTTTCTCAGGGAAGTTTCTAATAACCCCTTAAGTATAGGTAAATGATCCCAGTCCTGACTGTAATTCAGGAAATGTAATTCCTAAAAGAACTGATATATGCAATCTGGATTCTTAGATTCCTGCTTACTTGGCTTGATCAGGAATATAGTGCATAAAATCTAAAATATGCATGTGTATTTCAACAATCTCATGAACATTTCTTGTTTAAACAAAATTTTTAATAAACATTGGGTGATAGAGGCATCAAGATTTTACTGATGAAATGCCTAGAAGATACCTGCTCTCTGTAACATGCCGTAACAAGCATAATGGACAGTATTTGGAGAAATAAATGGACATTTGCAATTTTGTGATTTTTGTTTTTGTTTCTATCATTCAAAAGGAAGTTATGTGTTGGTTTTCAATAGATAGAATCTAGAATAAAGAAGTTAGTTGAGTTTCTGAAGGATTATTTTAAAATTGAGTTTTGGCACACTTTGGTACACATAATATTCTTATTTATCATAGGGAATTTGTACCTGTTCATAATATATCTCGTCTTGTTTTTATCCAATTGCCTTCCCTTCCTTCTCCCATCCATTTACAAAAGCTTTCTTTCCATTTTTTCTTCTATTGTATTTTTTCTTTTCCCTTTCTTCCCCCTCACCACTCCCCTTTCCTCAGCACATTTGAACATTATTTTCCTACTTTCCAATATCCATCCCCCATTTTGGCCTTTATTTATACTTTGAATTAATCACACAAGAGAAACAATGTGATATTTAAATATGTGTGTCCAATTTATTTCACTTAAAATTATCTTTTCAAGGTGTTTCCATTTACCTAAAAGAGTCTCAAGTTCATCTTTCTTTATAACAGTGTAGTACTCCATTGTACATAAAAAACACATTTTCTTTATTCACTAATCTGTTGATAGGCATCTGGACTGTTTCCAAGATTTAGCTATTACAAATAGTCTGCTATAAATATGTGTGTACATATATCACTGCACTATGATGCTATAAACACTTTCAGTTAGATATCAAGAAGGAGGATAGTGGGTCAAATGGAACCTCTAGTTTTAGGTGTTTTGTTTTTGTTTTTGTTTTCAGTGCCAGGGATCAAACTCATGACCTTGTACTTGCCAGGCACATGCTTGTGCTACTGATCTATATCCCCGCCTAGTTCTAGTTTTTGAGGAATCTCCATACTGATTTTCACAGTCATTGTACCAACTTAAATCCCACTATTAGTGGAGAATGGTCCCTTTTCCCTCACAGCCTTGTGAGCATTTATTGTTGGTTGATTCCTTGAAGATAGTACTCTTTCTGGAATGAGATGTTGAACTTTTTTTTCTGTTTATACTTCTTCATTTTAGAAATGCTTACTCATTTGAAATGCCTATTTTTGATTGGGTAATTAAGTTTTGGGGGTGTTATGGCTTGTGTCTAGATGTCCCCCCAATGCATCATGCAGTCATAGGTGAGGAGTTTTCAGAGTTGGCTGGATCTAGAGTATGTGTGCTGGTGTTTATTCATGGAGCAATGCTAGGATTAAGGGTGTGAATGCTACCTGCCTAAGTAGCCTGGATATGAAATAAGTGACAGAAAGAGCTGTGATCATCCCTTTCTATCTTTGCTACCTTCTGCATGCCATGAACTGTTTCTTCTCTGCAGTGCCTATGTGTTATCCACCCTGCCTTGAAGCCAGCCAGTTATGAACTGAAACCTCTACAGACTGTGAGCTAGCTAGATCTTTCTTCCTTTAACTTTGAGTGTTGGGTATTTTGTCTCAGCAATGAGAAAAGTAACTGACATAAAATGTATGGTTTTTTTAGTTATTTATATATTCTAGCTATCATTCCTTGTCTAGGAGCAGCTGGCAAATTTTTTCCCATTCTGTGGATTGTTTTTTCACGCTATCGGTGGTTTCTCTTGCTGTGCAAAAGGCTTTTTAATATGATGTGATCATAGTTGTTGATTCTTTGTAATATTACTTGTGTGATCAGGGTGTTCATAAACCATTGCCTACATTTATATCTTGAATAGTTTTGCCTGTTCCTGTTTAATATTTAGGTCTTTGGTCCATATTTATTTTACTTTAATGCATAATGGGAGACACAGATCTATACTTAATTTTGGGCATGTGGAAAGTCAGTTTCCATAGCACCATTTATTAAAGAGCTATTTATCTCCCAGTTAAGGTGTTGACACTTTTGTCAAAGATAAGGCAGTTGACTGTGTTTGGAGTATTTCTGTTTCTTCTATTTTGTTCTGTTGATCGTTGAGTCTGGTTGTTTTGTTTTGTTTGTTTGTTTGCTTGTTTTTTGTCACTACAGTGCTATTTTTATCACTGTTTCAAATAGGGAATTGCGATGCCTCTGCCTTGACTTTACTGTCCAGAAATACGTTTGCTATGCTAGGTCTCTTCTGGTTCCAAATGAGTTTTAGGATTATTTTCTCTAGTTCTTTGAGGTATGCTTTTGGTATTTCAATTGAGATTACATTAAATCTGTATAACAGTTTGGAAATATGGCCATTTTCACTATATTGGCTCTGCCTATCTGAGAAAGGGGAAATCATTACATTTTCCAATATCCTCTTTGATCTACTTTTCAGAGTACTGCAATTTTCATTGTAAAGGTCTTTTACTTCCTTCACTAGTGTGATTCCTAAGTATTTCATTTTTCTTGATGCTATCGTGAAAGGTATTCTTTCACTAATTTCTCTTTCAGTAAGTTTGTTATTTTTGTTTGTTACTAGAATGCTACTGAATTTTGAGTATTGGCTTTGTATCTTACTATGCTGTCAAATTTGGTTATAAATTCCAGGAAGTTTTGGTGGAGTTTTTTCAGCCTTTGGTGTAGAATATCATACCAACCATCAGCAAATAATGACAGTTTAACTTTTTCCTTTCTATCCATATTCCTTTTATTTCTTTTTCTTGCCTAATTACTCTGGCTAATGTTTCCAAAAATATATTGAACAGGAGTGGAAGTAGTGGACATCCTTGCCTTTTTTCTGATTTTAGAGTGAAAGTTTTTGGTTTTTGAATATTTAATATAGATGGCTTCTATCAGGTTGAGATAAAGGTCTTCTATTCCAGTTTTCTGTAGGGCATATATCATGAATGAGTGTTGCACTTTGTCAGATGCTTTTTTAGCATCTATTGAGATGATCATGGTTTTCTTGTTCTTGGTTCTGTTAATTTGGTGTATCACATTTAATTATTTGCATACGTTGAACCATCCCTGAATTCTTGGGATGAATCCTACTTGGTCATGCTGTATAATCTTCTTGATGATTTGCTGCATTCTGTTTGTCAGTGTCTTATTAAGGATTTTTGCATCTATGTTCATTAAGGAGATTAACCCATGGTTCTCTTTTTTGATTGGATCCTTCTCTGGTTTTGGTATCAGGGTAATGCTTGCTTCCAGGAATGAGTTTAGGAGTTTCATTTCATTAAAAAGCTTAAGGAATAGTGGAATTATATTTGCTATAAATTTCTTGTAGAATTCAGAAGTGAATCTGTCAGGATGTGGGTTTTCTTCTGTTAGTGGTTTTTGTTTTAATTCTTCATTTTTGCTGACTGATGCTGGGTTATTTAGAATGTTTATATCTTCTTGATTCAACTTTTATAATTCATATGCATTTAGGAATCTAGCTATTTCTTCTGCATTTTCTATCTTTTTGGAGTACAGGTTCTTGAAGAAAGTATTAATCTTCTGGATTTCTGTAGGATCTCTTTTGATTTTGCCCTTTTCATTCCTAACTACAGGAATTTAAGTATTTCCTTTTCTCTGATAAAGTTACCTAAGTATCTATCTATTTTATTTAATCTTTCAAAATCAACTCTGTGATTTATTCTTTCGTTAGTCTCAATTGCATTGATTTCTGGTCTGATCTTCATAATTTTCTTTCTCTCTTCTACATGCTCTGGATTTAACTTGGTCTTCTTTTCTAGGACCTTGAGATTCAATATTAGGTTATTTACTTGAACTTGCTCTGTTTTTCCGATATGGGAATTCACCACTACAAATTTCCCTCATAGGACTGCTTTCACTGCATTCTATAAGTTCTGGTATGTCATACTGGCATCATCATTTAAGTGTAGAAAATCTCAATTCTCTAATTTCATCTGTGACACATTGGTTGTTCAGAGAGCATTATTTATTTTCCATGTGTTTATGTAGCTTCTATGATTTCTTTTGCCATTGATTTCCAATTTCTTTGCACTATGATATGATAATATCAATTCCTTTGCATTTACTTAAGTGTGTTCTATGAGCTACTATGTGGGCTATCTTGGAGAAAGTTCCATCTGCTTCTGAGAGGAACGTGTATTCATTGTTTGTGGGGTGGAACACTGTGTAGATATCTACTAAATCCATTTGTTCAAAGGTTTGGTTCAGTTCTGATATTTCTTTGTAGGGGCTGGAGAGATAGCTCAGTGGCACAAGTACCTGCATGACAAGTGCCAGTTTGTGAGTCTGGTCCCCGATACCAAAAAAAAAGGAACTTTTTGTCTAGTTGATCTGTCTACAGTGCAGTGTTAAAGTCACCCGTTACAATTATATTAGTGCTTATCTGATTTTCCATATCCACTAAAGTTCATTTATATAGTTGGTATGTTTATTTTTGGTGCATATATGATTGTCATCTCTTTCTCTTGGATTGTTCTCTTAACAAGTATGTAGGTACCCTCTTTATCTTTCTTCATCAGTCTTGGCTTAAAATCTACTTTGTCTGCAGATAGAGTAGATACCTCTGCTTTTTTCTGGGTTCCTGTTACATGCAATATTTTTGTTCGTTCTTTGACTTTTAGTCTATGAATTTCTTTGGGGGTTAAATGTATTTTTGTATACAGTATTGTTTGGATCTTGTTTCTGAACCCATTCTGACAATCTGTTTCTTTTGTTTGGTGAATTGAGACCATTCACATTGATGTTATAAACTGATATGTATTGACTTTCCTTGTTGTATTATTTTCTAGTTGCTAGTTCCCTTTCTTTCTCTGCTGCTTAATTGCTTGCTTTGCCTAATGAATTCATTTTATTGGGATTCATGGAATTATTATCCTTATTGTCCTTTTCAGAATATCCTTCAGAACTTTTTTGAGGTGCTGGTTCAGTGGTCATGAGTTTCTTCAGATGTTCTTTATCACAGAAGTGTTTTATTTCCATCTTCACATTGATTGATTCTGCTGCATGTACTTTCAATAGAATTTTTAATGTTCTGGATATCTGTTTGAATATGTTTTATGGCATCAGCTCCTCCCTGTGTTGGACATTTATGGTTTTCATTGCTCTCCTAAGCTCCTGTATTTTTAAAAAATCTATACCTATTATAGATTTACTAACCATGTCTTTCATTATGGTCATCATCTCTCTAGTTTTTTGTGTAATTATATTTGATTTGTTTTCTTCTAAAGACTTATCTATCTGCTTTGTTACTTTCACTGCTGTGTGGCTTTTGATTTCTTCCACCTCAGTGGCCACTGCATTTGCCCTGCATGAGCTGAAGATCTGGTTGCATCTTGTTTCCATATCTTTTCATTGTGTGTGTGTGTGTGCGTGTGTGTGTGTGTGTGTGTGTGTGTGTGTGTGTGTGTGTTTCAGTTTGTTTTCTTCATTGATGCTTGTAAATTGCTTATGGTGGATATCTTTATTACTAGTATAGAGACATCCTTAGGAAATGACTACTTTTCAGAGATGTTTCCTAGGTGTAGCTGGCTTTTTTTTTTTTTTTTGTCTTTTTCATTTTTATCAGTACCAGCAATTGAACTCACGACTGCCTGCTTGCAAGGCAGGCGCTTATGCCACTGAGCTAAAGCTCCAGCCCCTGTAGCTGGCTTTTGATTTTTAAGTCTGTTCCAGGATTCTGTCTCTTTAACTTATTAGGACTGAAAGGTTGCTGCCTGTTTGGTCTAGCACCCAGCTCTTTGGTATTGGACTGTGGTATTGTTTATGACCCCCAGACCATCTTAATATTGGCATACAAAGGAGAATAAGTAATCACAACAACTATGTTACTTTGGCTAAAGTAATACAATCAGTAACAAGAACAGCATCAAACATAGTCTAGAAAATGACCATGGTAAAACTGTTGTCTGGCCACCTTTAATAATAGGTATAAAATTTATAGTTATATAACAAAATGTAAAATAAATCAGAAAATTATATATGATAAATTTCTTCTCAATAGAGTGGTTTTACCTTCAAGGAAGAAAGTTTGGGAGGGTTAAGAGGAAAAAAATAGAGAAATAAAAAAGAAGATTAGAGATTTGAAGCAAGGTTAAAGGATAAAGGAAGATTAACCAAGTTTGGGAAACTGATAAAGAAGACAGAAAGAACGAGGAACACCAAATATATAACAAACATATTAAAAATATATTTAGCCTCACTATTGGAAGAAATAAGATTAAAATACAATACCATTTTTTGATTATCAGATTGGAAAAAGTATAAACTTTAATAATATCAATGGAGAATATCAATACCAGTGGATATGGAGAAATGATACTTTTTAGTGTTAGCAAAAATGTAAATTGATGTGGGTAACTTATGGAGCAATTTGGCAATCACTACTATACTTGAAAATGTATATATTATATGATTTGTAATTTCACTTGTTGTAAAGCTTCTTCCAATGTGTTGAGGTAGGAACTTTTTACAATGTTGCAATACCAGCCTCTGTGTACTCATATGTAGTTCTGACATAGCTCTGTAACATAAATCACACCCAACCAGACTGTACAATGTTAATGTACACCCAACCAAACTGTAAAATGTTAGTGTAGGCCTATATAAGGGAGACAAAAACACAAGAATTGTGGTAAAAGTGCAGTTATGCCATGTTCAGCACTCAGCCTTTGGATAAGAACCTGCTGAGTCAGTGTCTGCATGGATAAAGGTGCTTCCCAGGAAAAAGGCCTTGGCGTCCTGTCTCTTTACATGAAAATCCTGCAGCACACTTATTTACCTTAGAGAAATGTTTGTAAATGTACACAATGAAATACAAATAAAGATATCCATCACAATGTTATTTTAGTATCAAAACACTGGAAATAAACTAAATGCCCATGAACAGAGGAATGCTAAGAAATTAATGGCATTTTCATATGATATAATGCCATATAGGTATTAAGAGAAAAAAATACATTCATGCTGTGCTGAGGATTGAGCACATGGCCTTTGCACTGAACTACATCCTTATTCCCTTTTTCTATTTTTTTTTTTTTTGAAACAGGGTCTTGCCAAGTCATGAAGTTGACCAGGCTAAACTCATTCCTCCTGCCTCAGCCTCCAGAGTGCAGAGATTGCAGACATGTACCACCATCCCTGGCTTGCAGCTTTTATTTGTGTGATGATTATGGTGGCAATGACAGTAGTGGTGATGGTGGTGATAAAAGCTTCAGAAGGCCATGTTCTGTCTACATTAAAATCTTGAATCTCCTATAATTACTAATATAATCTTCTTGCTTAGGTAGGGATTTTGGATCGGCAGAGAACATTGGCCTTGCTGGAAGAGTTCTATGACCAAAGTTCACAAACACTTAGGAGTTTACTCCGAAACCCAAGACAGTGTAAGTACTATTCAGATGGAGTAGCATCTTCAAATTGGGGTGTCACAGTACTGTAATATGATCATTCTACCTCTTGTTGAATCCTTTCACATAACTTCTTGAGATGAGCTGCTTGCTTGGTTTCCCAGCATCCTAAGTTCCAACATGGTGTGGATTTCAGGAGACACTGCCGGTTCTCCCCCTGGAAGGGCCTTAGTCTGCCACACCGCAGCTGCTTACCAGGGAGGGGAGCTGCTTGCTTGGTTTCCCAAGGTCCTAAGTTCCAACATGGCACAGATCTCAGGAGACACTGGTGGTTCTCCCCCTGGAAGGGCTGCAGTCAAGTTTTATTTTTTTAAAAAGAGAAAGCCTTTTAATCAATGAGTTTTCTAAACAATATCTTATTTTTACACAAAGACTTATTACTTGGATGTTTTAAAATATGTAGATAGTATACATGGATTATTCCTAAAGTTTATGGTTTAACTACTACATGTTTTGAAGATGATGGACAGCCTGTAGTGTGACTCCTACTCTATGTAGTCTTAGATTCCATGGTTTCGCTGTTTTTTTGCACTACAAGAGTTGGAACCTAGGATGTATTATTCACTAAGCAAGAACTCTACCACTGAGGTATACCTCCATGGGATTCTGGTGAATGTTTTTCCTGAGGTTCTTTTTTATTTTTAAATGGAGATTGAATCCAGGGCCCCACGCATCCTAAGCTGTACCTTAACCTCTGTCTCTAGATTTCTGAATCAGGTGTCCATATGAGTTGTAGAATAAAGAAGCAGAGAGGGAAAAAGAAGGGAGAGAGAGTGAATATGGGAAAGCATAACCCCAGTGAAGATTTTCATGGTTAGAGACCTGCTCTTATTTTATATTGCAGATACTGAAAAGGTATTTGAAAAGGAAAATCATGTCCCTTTTCCCATATCTATGCTATGCTTATTGTGAGAGGACCACAAAATTAGTAGACAAATTTTATTTGCCTTGTCAATATAAGCAACACTCCAAATAGCAAAAGAAAAGTTATGTTCATTTCCAAAGCAATACCTTTTAGGAAGGGACATCTAATTCACAGCAGTGAATAATTTCATAATGTTCATTGAGTATTCTTTTGCTTTTAATGTGGTTGCGGCAAAAGGTTACTGATATTTCTTCAAAGTAATAGGACTATATTAAAAATCACTATGTTCAATGCTTCTTTACACTAATTAAATAACTGATTATTCTACATAAGACCAATTACTTAAGTAAATTAATTGTTTGTTTTCTGCATTAGGGCCATTCATTGAGTTTGAAGAGATAAATTTGCTTGAGTTCTGGGGAGACACGGATAATCAGAAACACATTTATGAAGACTTTGATGAAGTGTTCTTAAACATGAATGCATTACTTTCTGAAAAATATAACAAAACCCTAAATCAATCATTAGAGGACCCAAAAGATCAACCAGAATATGATGAGCAGAGGACATCAACAGCACCACCACCTCCACCCGAACAACAAGAGGGAAAAAGTGCAGATCTGGAGTCACCAATAATTTCAAATGAAGAACAAGGCAGAGAGTTTAATGCTGAGCAAAAATTGTACAGAGATGCAGTAATAGAACAGGGACCTGACACAGAATCAACTCTAGAACCAGAGTCAAATAGAGAATTAACAGAGGAACATAGACCACAGAGAGGGTCAACTGCAGAGCAAGGGTCACGCAGAGAATCAACTGCAGAACAAAGACCACAGAGAGGGTCAACTGCAGAGCAAGGGTCACGCAGAGAATCAGCTGCAGAACAAAGACCACAGAGAGGGTCAGCTGCAGAGCAAGGGTCACGCAGAGAATCAGCTGCAGAACAAAGACCACAGAGAGGGTCAGCTGCAGAGCAAGGGTCACGCAGAGAATCAGCTGCAGAACAAAGATCACAGAGAGGGTCAGCTGCAGAGCAAGGGTCACGCAGAGAATCAGCTGCAGAACAAAGATCACAGAGAGGGTCAACTGCAGAGCAAGGGTCACGCAGAGAATCAACTGCAGAACAAAGACCACAGAGAGGTTCAGCTGCAGAGCAAGGGTCACGCAGAGAGTCAGTAATGGAACAAGGACCATACAGAGACTCAACTGCAGAGCATGGGTCACGCAGAGCATCAGCTGCAGAACAAAAAGTGCAAAGAGGGTCCACTGCAGAGCAAGAGTTACTCACAGAGTCAGTGGAAGAACCACACACCGAGTCAGAACAAAGACCACACAGAAAGACAACTTCAGAACAACAGGACGGAGTCGCAGCTTCACAATCAGCAACAGGTAGAGTCTTTAGAAAAAAGACAAAATCTTGGCAGACTACTCTCTAAGTACTTTAAAATCCCTTCACAAATAGAGAGTTTATGGGAGCAACCATAAGAGGACTAACTATTCACCTGTTCTGAACTACAAAAGGTAGTTCCCACATCAAGCAGAAAAGATCATCTTTCAGAAAAGTGATTTAGCTTTCTTCTCCCTGTTTTGTGGAGTAATTTTAAAAGTCTTTTCAGAAAATACACATTAAACTTGCAACCTTTTTTGGCATATCAGGTAATGCAAACCTCAGATGTATTTTGGTACTCAACATCAGTCTAGACTTGAAACTTCAATTAAATGCACCTAAAATGTCTCTATCATCAGTCTATCTAGAATTTCATGTATAGTAGCACCCTATTAATAAGGGGTAAAATATAGCAATGTTCCATGTACATGTATTTTAACTGGTTTTTGAAAAGGTAGAAGAAGGCCTTTTGCTTTAAATGTGGTATGTGATATTAGCAACTACTTTTTAAATTTTCTTTTATTTCAGCTATGAAATGGACTGTGGGGGTTTTTTTTCATTTAGTTAAAGGATACATGTTCTATAAGGGTTTCTGAAAGTCATATTTCAGACAGAAAGCACTGTGTTTCAAATGTTTGTTTATGTCTCATTGGTCAGAATTTAGGTTTAAATACAGTGATGTCTCACTGTGAAGGAGGCTGGGAAATGTATCCTTTCTTTTGCATCACCAAATTGGGACACAAAAAACCAAGCTTTTGTCACAGAGCTGCTCTCAACAATTAAAATTATTAAGTAATTGTATTGTGGTCAATAATGATGCAATATATATGGGAAAGTACTTCCGGTTTTGGGTGTTCTATAGTTAAGGTATTTCTTTCATTAATTAATAGGATACTTAACAGAATATTTAATATTCAGTTCATAAGTATTTTATTTTGTGCCTCTTAGAAATGACAGAAAAAGGTGTCCAGAGAGCAAAAGCCTGTGAACCCAAGTCCCCCCAAATAGAAGGAAATTCATGGTCGGGTAACTCCTCATTTAATCTTCCTTTTATGTCATACTCTAGAACACAAATATTGTGAAGCTAAGGTGAAATTTGTTATAACATAAAATGTGCTTTTCATAGGTGAAGTTTTGTCTTCTACCTGGAGGATGAAGTATGTCAAATTCGAAGATGAGGAACAAGCAAACTTAATCTATGGTAACTCCAGGTTCACAGGTACATATTAACAGTAAAACTAGGAAGCATAAATAGAAGTATATTAGGTGGTTTTAATGTTCCATGGTATATTGTGGTAAAGAGTGGATTTTGCTGACACTATCCCCCGAGCCCAGCCGCACCTAGCCATCTCCTGCAGAGGAGGAGCTGGGCGGATCCGGAGTCCCTGCAGAAGCCCCTTCCCTTTGTCTGGAGGACTGAATATTTCTGCAAGCAGGGAGGGATCGCAGGTTCCTGAGGCACCTCGGCCTGTGGTGAGTGCCCAGCACAGTCTGCCCAAATCTCAGACTGTTCTGGACCCCCCAGGCTTCTGGGTGCAGTGAAGTGGAGCAGTGGGTTAGAGGCCACTACAGCCGCCTTCCCATCCCAGCTACACTTGGGAGGTCTGCTGAGCTCCCGACGGGTGAGCGGGCCTACACTATCCCCCGAGCCCAGCCTCGCCTAGCCATCGGTGTGCAGAGGAGGAGCTGGGCGGATCTGGAGTGCCTGCAGAAGCCCCTTCCTTTGTCTGGAGGACTGTGGATATCTCTGCAAGCAGGGAGGGATCACAGGCTCCTGAGGCACTGCGGCCTGTGGTGAGTACCCTAACCCGGCTGCAACTGAAGAGCTGTGGATCTTCCAAGGGGCAGGTGGGCGCACAGTGTCCATGAGGCCCAGCTTGTCTGGAACTGCGGAGTTCTGAGCAGGCAGAGGAGGGCCACTGGTTCTGTAGGCCCAATGGCTTGGGGTAGCGTGGTGCCAGAGTCTCAGTAGCTCCAAACATAGAAGGGGATTTTCAAAAGATACTGAGGAAGCTTTCAAATAACACTTGAAACACAGAAATATAGGAAAATGACAAAACGAAAGACCAAATTACAACCTCAAACCTCCAGCCCATCTCAAGAAACCCTAGGAGCGATGTATATAGAAGAAAATATATCCCATCCACCTCATATATCGGACATAATAGCTACTGAAATTGACAAGCAACTCCAGGAAGCTTTAAAGAAATTCAAACTCGAAATAATCTCCCAGATAAAAGAAGAAATGACAAAAGAAATGAAAGCGATTCTAAATATATCTAAAGAAAACACAGATAAAAAATTGGAGGAACTAAACAAAAAGATAGAATCCCTAGACGAGCAATATAAGAAACAAACAGAATACATAATGCAGATACACAGATATATACAGGAAATAAAAAACTCCACTGAAAGTTGTAAAAACCGCCTTAATGAAAGTGAAGATAGAATTTCAGACCTTGAAGATAGGATCACAGCTAGTGAACAGGAAAGGAAAGATCTTTTAAAAATAACAAGGAATCAGGAAACAACAATTCAACAACTGCAAGACGATGCAAAGCAGAATAACATAAGAATGATAGGGATTAATGAAAAAGAAGGAGACAACATAAAGGATATCAAGAGGATATTTAGAGAAGTAATAGCTGAAAATTTCCCAAGCATGAGATCAGAAACTGACATCAGGATCAGTGAAGCATATAGAACACCAAATAGTCATAACCAAAATAAAACTACACCCAGACATATAATAATCACCATCCCAGAAATCCAACACAAGAATAGATTATTAAAAGCTGTCAGAGAGAAAAGACAGATCACTTATAAAGGAAAACCTATCAGAATCACAGCAGACTTCTCATCACAAACAATAAAGTCAAGAAGAGCATGGAGTGAAGTATTCCAGATCCTAAAGCAAAATGATTTCAAACCTAGACTGATATATCCTGCAAAACTATCATTTAAAATAGATGGTGAAATACGATACTTCCATGACAAAGAACAGCTGAAGAACTTCATTAACACCAAACCAACCCTGCAAAAAATATTGAAAGACAGTTTAGATACACAAAGGAAAAAACCACTAAGCAAAACAAATAATTAAACAGAACAGAAAGATAAAGATGCAACAGCAGAGAGATAAGATTCCTACAATTAACCAACATTTAACAGTAATAACCATTAATGTAAATGGTCTCAATGCACCAACCAAAAGAAACAGACTAGCAGAATGGATCAAGAAACAAAATCCAACTATATGCTGTTTACAGGAAACCCATCTAACCCAGAAGGATACTCACAGACTGAAAGTCAAAGGATGGAAAACAATTCTTCATGCAGCAGGAATCCAAAAAAAGGCAGGAGTAGCCATTCTGTTTGCAGACAATGTGAACTTTAAACCAACAATGACCATAAAGGATAAAGAAGGTCACTACATACTCGTAAGGGGAAAACTCCAAGAGGAAGAGATAACTATCTTAAATATATACGCACCAAACTCCAGAGCACCCAGTTACATAAAACAATTATTAACTGAAATGAAAACTCAAATTATCAGTAACACAATTGTAACAGGAGACCTTAATACGCCATTGACACCAAGGGACAGATCAACCAGACAGAAAATGAGCAAAGAAATAACAGAACTGAATCATACCTGTGAACAAATGGGTTTGATAGACATATACAGAATGATCCACCAAACAACATCAGAATACACATTCTTCTCAGCAGTACATGGATCATTTTCTAAAATAGACCATATATTAGCTCACAGAACATATTTAAACAAGTGCAAAAGAGCTGAAATCATCCCTTGCATGTTATCGGATTATAGCGCTCTGAAATTAGAAATTAATGATAAAAGATACCGCAAAAATCCCACAAACACATGGAAACTGAATAACACACTCATGAGTAATCAGTGGGTCACAGAGGAAATTAAAGAAGAAATCAAACAATACCTAAAAGAAAATGAAAATGCAGATACAACTTACCGGAATCTGTGGGATGCAATGAAAGCCGTCCTGAGAGGAAAATTTATTGCACTGAGTTCCCACATCAGGAAAACAGAATGAATACAAATAAATAACTTGATGCTACACCTCAAACAGCTAGAAAAAGAAGAGCAAGTCAAGCCCAAAGCCAAAAGAAGAGAGGAAATTATAAAAATCAGAGCAGAAATCAATGCAATAGAGACTAAGAAAACAATCCAAAGAATCAACGCATCAAAGAGTTGGTTCTTTGAAAGAATAAATAAAATCGATAAGCCCCTAGCCAACCTTATTAAAAAAAGGGAAGAAAAAGCTCAAATTCATGCAATAAGAAATGAAAAAGGAGAAATCACTACAGACCCAATAGAAATACAGAAGATCATCAACACCTACTTCGAAAACCTCTACTCTCAAAAGTTTGATAACACAGAAGAAATAGACAGATTCTTAGAAGCATATGAAGTGCCAAAGCTAGATCAAGAGGATGTAAAACTGTTGAGTAACCCAATCTCTGCTAATGAAATTGAAAATGTAATTAAGTCCTTACCCACCAAGAAGAGCCTAGGCCCAGATGGATTCACTGCAGAATTCTACAAGAAATACAAAGAAGACCTAATGCCGACACTCCTCAAACTATTCAATGAAATTGAAAGGGAAGCAATCCTTCCTAAGTCATTCCTGGAAGCAAATATTACTCTAGTACCAAAACCTGAGAAAGACCCAACTATAAAAGAGAACTACAGACCAATCTCCCTAATGAACACAGATGCAAAAATCCTCAATAAAATATTGGCAAATAGGATCCAGCAAATCATCAAGAAGATTATACACCATGACCAAGTGGGATTCATCCCAGGAATGCAAGGATGGTTCAACATACGCAAATCAATAAATGTAATCCACCATATCAATAAAGCCAAAAATAAGAATCACATGATCATTTCTATAGATGCAGAAAAAGCCTTCGATAAGGTCTAACATTTATTCATGATAAAAACTCTACAGAAAATTGGAATAGATGGTCTTTACCTCAATATAATAAAGGCCATTTATGACAAACCAACAGCCAGCATCATACTAAATGGCCAAAAATTGAAAGCCTTTACTTTAAAATCAGGCACAAGACAAGGATGTCCTTTATCACCACTCCTATTTAATATAGTACTGGAAGTACTAGCCAGAGCAATTAGGCAAGAAAGAGAAATAAAAGGGGTAAAGATAGGAAAAGAAGAAGTTAAGTTGTCATTGTTTGCAGATGACATGATACTCTACATAGAAGATCCCCTAAGCTCCATTGAAAGACTCTTAGGCTTCCGGGAGAACATGGCGGACAGATAACAGCAACTACCGGAGGCTCTCTGAAAACTAGGCTCAGAAGCCAGGTATGGTGCGGACTAAAGAGACATAAGCAGGTGGAGTTATGCTCTGCTGACTCAGGAACGAACTCGGCTGAGAGAAACCAACTCGGAATGCAGTCCTGGTGCTAAAACAGGAACAGAAAAGCCTCGCTGCTGAGGCTGGACCCCACGCCATTTGGGTTTCCCGCCGCGCGGTGGCTGGCTGCCTCTACATCGGCTCGGCAAGGAGAGAGACGCGCGGAAACTCTGAGAAAGGGAGTCTGTGAACGGAGTCGAAAACAGGACGGGCAGGGAGGCATGTTCTGACTTGTGGCGAGGTGAGTGAGAGAAACTGACACTCCACCACAGTTTGACTCCAGCGGACTTTCTGGGCCCGGGCAGTCCTGCGGGAGCAGGGCGCGCTGGCGACTCCAGCCACACATTCCCCTGTCGGGCGGGATTGGTGAAAAGTGCCTGGCCTGCGTGACACTGCCGGCGGACCCCGTAGGCTGGCCCAACCCAGATCCCAGAGCCTGACGGAGGCCGGGAGGGGCGGGCCCCCGCGTAGGCTGCCTGGTGTGCAGCAGTGAGTGGAAACACCTAACCGGCGCAATTCGATCAGGCTGTGGCTGACAGAGAGAGAAGCTAGGCCTCTCATATAAGCTTGCATACATAAGGAACAGAGAATATGGGAAGAGGCAGCAACAAGAAAGGCTCCTCGGCCCCCAATTCTGAGAAACAGGCAATAACAGACACCGCACCATTACACATAAGGCGCCATATAGAGAGCCTCATAGACCAATTCAGGAATGAAGTTATCAACGACCTGAAGCTAGAAGTATGCAAAATAGTTAGAGAAATACTAAGCACCACCCAAGAAAAAACAGATG